CCAAGAACTCTGTTGTTGCTATTGGATGCAGCATGTGAAAAATGAAAGGATGACTTACGGTGCTGAATACAATCCATTCATTCTCCTCCAGCTTCAGTGCAGAAGGCTTTCATGATTTTATGTGATGTTTCTAAGTGGTGAAAGTCACATTCAGACACATTTTTTTAGCTAAGTACAGTGACTTGATTGCAGGCACACAGACAATGTCCTTCTGATGTTGCAGCTCAGGAGACTGCCTGGCTTGTTTGCTCTATCACATATACAGAGTAACTTTTGTTCTTTGAGCCTGGTAATCTTGGTTTGAGGCACCTGGGCAGACTCAAGTGAGCCTTTGTATGATTGTAACAAGGATGTTACCTTACAATGCATGCTCACAGGCAAAGTTTCAGCCCTAGGTTGCATCAATTTTTAACAGTTCTGTGGAGCTGTGGTGGCTTGACCTTGGCTGGCTGCCAGACACCCACCCAGCTGCTCTCTCACTCCCACTTCAGGGAGTTCATAGTTTACACTTCAGGACACTAATATCAAGGTTTGCAACGGGTACCTGTCTAGAAGCAGGCACAGCAGATATCTGCTGTTAGGAAGTTGTTTCCAAAGCCAGACACCAGACACTGTGGTGTCAGGAGGCCCTGAAGGCAGGTAAGTTCTGTACTCCTTCCTCCAGTGCTTTTGTTGTGTTTTTCATATTTTGCTCTAAATCTCCACTGCTTTCGTGTTAGTGTTTCTGCTTGTACTTATCCTTCCCACCCCCCGAGCCCTTTCTCTTTCCGCTTTGAGCACGCTCTAATGTTTTCTTGCTTATGGATAGTGTTGAGACATTTCAGTGCTACGTGAAAGCGCAAAGCTTTGTCACCTCCCAGAGACAAAGCAGAAGTGTCCGCAAGCAGATGAATGAAACGGAGAAGTTGGCAGGTCTGAGTGCTCAGCAAACTGTGGTCCTGGTGACTGTGCAGTTTACGCCCTCCTAGGACTGACCCCATACAGCTCGCTCACATTCATTCAGACTTTCTGGTCCTGCCTTAACCTATGGCATCAACACCGTTAGTGTCAGAGCCAGGGAAGGATGAGTCTTCCCAACAGTCCTTCTTCCTTATAAGGTGGGCAGCCTACAATTTGAGGAAATACGTCCCATTTCCTGGAAATTCTGTGCAATGTAAAAGGAGTATGATCTGTGTGTTTGTGTGTGCATGTACGTGGCTGATAGAATTATGTAAAAAAAATTGGATCTTTACAGTTCATGAGAGTTTACGCCCGCTGGGGCCAGTTTGACCCTTTCTTGCCACCAATTTATGCTGGTGCAGAATTTAGTCTATTATGTTCCTCTGGGTTAGAGTGTCCTTGACATCTGTTCATCCTTATTCCACAGCATCTCATGGAGCCTGTGTTGCTGTTCAGTGGAGGTTTTTGTGAGGAGTTAGGTGCTGTATTCTGGTTTCAGTGATGCATTTCTTGCTTTATTTGGGATTCTATCCTATATGGGTCATTTGTGTTTGTAAGCACGAAAGGGAAGATCTTACTGCTTAGAAATGTATTTTATTTATATGAGGGTCCATTTTTTTTCAGAGACTTTCCATTTACTTTTATTTCAGGTCACTTTTATTAATAAAACCAAATATAGAATGGTCTTTTCCTCTTTGTCCTCAACTCATTCTTCAGTGACTCCCTCTTCCTCTGCACAACACATACATCCAAGGTGTTTTGTTTTCAACCTAAACTGTTGGCCACTCACTTGCAGTTACAGTAGGAATTTTAATCCACTGTAAAGAGAACTAATGAATGTATAATTAACTAATGACAGTCTGTGGGACTAAGCCTAGCAAAGTGAAAGCCATAAAAATTCGAAGCAACTGAGGTGGAGCTTCACGGCTTCACTGCAGCGTATGGAAAAGTCAGTTCTGCCAGGGTAGTAAAGTTGAGGAGATTGTTTGACAGCTTGGGAGAGGACAATGCACCTGGATGTGTTGGGAAAGAATAGAAGGAGTAGAGGGTGAGAACCAGAGGAAGACGCGTGTCTTTCTCTCCCCATCATTTCCACCATCTGATCTGATCATGGGAATGAACCTCCTCCGCAGGCCTGATTTCTCTTCAGAGCCCAGCTGCTGTTGGATGGGGCTACCCTCCTCCGTAACCATTAACTCTTCCCCCTGCATGCTTCCCTTGGCAGCAGTAGCAGAAGTCACAATTCTAGTAGGCAGAAGCAGACACCAGCTGGTTGGGTTGCTCTGGGAAAAGGAGCGGGCCAAGTAGGCCATGCATCTGCTCCCTGTTTGACGGGCAGGTTTTCAGGTACTAACAGCTTTGCCTGTGCCAGCCTGACCTGGAGGACTACTTACGGACAAGCCTGGCCCCTTAGGGAGCATGGAGGGAGTGCTGCTGTTGCGAGCCACGGTGCCTCCTCCAGGGGCTGTGCAGGCAGGCTGCGCAGCTGTCTCCGTGGCTCCGATCCTGTTCGCTTTGTTTGCTGAACCCCAACGGGGTTAATGAGGCTGCGGTGAGGTGAGCTAGCCTGGGCTGCGTTGGGGCTGGATCCTCTGGTCTGCCAGATTTAGGCCATCTAAAATTAGCCCCTAGCCCTAAACCTCAGTCATGCACCCGAATCTTTCTACTGCTGCCTTAATAAAAGCATGCAGGGTCGTAACCCTTTTGGTTCTAAAACGAACACTGACTTTGGAAGCAGCTGTATCCATTTTATATCCATTCCCACATCCTGAAATATTCCTACCTGTTCTTTTGTACATCCCTCCTCTTAACATTGCTACTTTTTACCGTGTAAATGAAGAAATGTCAGATCTGTGCAGCGTGGGGGTGAGTAGCTTACCTGTACAGATGCAGCTGCTGTTGAAAAGCATACCTGAGTAAATGTGTTACAGTTCTCCTAAATACTGAGATAACGTCTAGCACGTAGTTTTAAATAACAGGTAGTTCTCGATCTGCCATAGCGTTTCCAGTGACTCACCGTTCCCGCCCCCCACCCCATTGCAGTAATTACAGAAGAGTATTGCAGTCCCTGACTCAGAGGGAGGCTTCCTTCCAGGCTTCTGGCCGTGCTGGAGCTCCAGCTCTGCAGCCATATGCAGCAAATTGTGGGGGGCATCATGGTAGCAGGTGGGGACGTGCCAAGAATAACGCGGGCACGGCATATGTTTTGAACTAGTGATAGCAAGCCATTAAAGACAGAGTTTGCTTTGGATTCCTGACAGGAATTTGGTTGCCAGTATCTTGGCTATGACTCTGGTGCCTCTAAAACTGGGTGCTTACAGGAAAGATATCCCAAAGGACACATCTGATGGCTTCTCTGTCCTGCAAAGTGTCAAAATTAAAAGGGGTAAGTGTGCTCCCACCCAGATTTGTTGTGGTTTCACGGCTTTTGAAGAGAAAGGGTTCCCTGTGCAGACCCATGGGAACACAGGGTATGAGGCTCACAGGGCAGGCCTGGGGATGGGGCTCAGCTGTGCGTCAGGTTGTGAGGTGGGAGCTGTGGGGTGAGGTTTCACGTGCGCTGATCCCTCGTGCTCCATGAGCACCATCATTTCTTCCTCTGGGGAGGAATTCAGCAGGTACTGCAAGCCAGCACGTCACGTACACACTGACTGGCTGCAGCTGTCCTGGCCACTCCGGGAGACACAAAACAGCAGCAGTGACATGCTGCCAAATGTGACCTGACAGCCCTGCCATGAGGACGCTCAGGACTGCGGGGGAGGCAAGCAGAAGTGGACCAAAGGGCTCGAGTCTCCTGTTTGCCTTGTGAGATGTCAGATCTGACAGGCACACGGATGGGTCTTGGTCCTCTGTTGTTTTCATGTTCATGCAGCTTTTTAGATTTAGTAGAGCTGCACTCTTCACTTGGCACTGCTGCAAGCAGCTGTGCACAGCCGGCCACCAGGTCTCTGCTTCTAAGAAATGTGCTTGAAGGTCATCTTGCCATCAGCTAAGTGTATTTAGAAGCAGGTCTGTGGAAGTCGTGCCAAGTTTCTTGGAGATAGGAATAGATTTTCCTGTACCTTAAATGCTGCACTGGTGAATAAAATCTGCAAATTTGCTTTCCATTGTTTCAGCTTAAGCATGAGGATATTCTCTTTAATTTCTTTCAGTGTTACTGTGTAAGAATGAGGGTCTTGGAATTTTTTATGGTTATGGTGCAGTGTTTTCAAATGTTTAGGTCATAAAACATTACATGTGAGCATGATGTTTTCATTTGCTGCTTCTCAAAGGATAGAAATTTCTTCCCTAAGCACTGCTGTGACATAATGTGGTGGAAACACAGCTATTCTGAGTGTCTCCATGTCAAAGTGCCCATTCAAAAGGGCAGAGTGATGTATATATTATGTACATATGAACACAGTTTATTTTTTTAATTCAGAATTTATTGTCCCAAGTCAGATCCCTGCTCCTAGGACTTTGGTGAGGGCTTTGACCGCTATGCTGGTACATATAACATAGGTAATGTCTCATCTGTGTGAGTGTTGGTTTTGGGGTTGTTTGTTTGTTTGTTTGTTTGTTTGTTTGTTTGTTTGTTTGTTTGTTTGTTTGTTTGTTTGTTTGTTTGTTTGTTTGTTTGTTTGTTTGTTTGTTTGTTTGTTTGTTTGTTTGTTTGTTTGTTTGTTTGTTTGTTTGTTTGTTTGTTTGTTTGTTTGTTTGTTTGTTTGTTTGTTTGTTTGTTTGTTTGTTTGTTTGTTTGTTTGTTTGTTTGTTTGTTTGTTTGTTTGTTTGTTTGTTTGTTTTTTAATTTAATGATAAGTGGCCTGACTGAGGTGCTTTGTGGCAGCAAGGTGAATATTCTCTGAGAACCCAACCAAGTTCAGGCCTTTTGGGGAGGTGGGCTCTCAGGCACCTTCTTGGTAAATTTTGAATGGCCTGAAGTGTAAGACTGGCACCAGGATGCCAAAGAAGTACATTTGGGTGAGCAGGTGCTCTTATGGATCTGAGCTGTAAATTCTCAGGTTAATGAGAAGTGACTACATGGCTTGTGGGATGTTTCAGCTGTTGATTTCTCTTTTCAGGCTGAGTGGACGATTAGTGAGCGGATGGGCTCTGCTGGGAAGGCTTGTCCTCACACCATGACAGCTGACGAGTCAGAAGCTGGAGAGTTAGCTCTGGAGCCCCTGCTCACTTGCAAGCTATGTCTCTGTGAATACTCCTTGGATAAGATGACCACTCTTCAGGAATGCAGCTGCATCTTTTGTACATCGGTAAGACCTAGCAGTGCCTTTATGTTACAGGAGCAGGGTAATGGGAGATAGACAGAACTGTGAGATGGGGTTGCTTGTCCGGTACTAGAAGCGTGTGTTATCCATGCTGACAGAGGATGCTTTCCTAAAGAGCATTTGGTGTTAGTCTGTCTTGCCTTATTTAAAAGACTTCTCTGTCATTTTGCTTTTGATAACTCATAACTCTAACAGACAAATAATAATAAATCCCAGTAGTAAATGGAAAAAAAAGATGCATTTTAAGACTGTCAGAGAATATACACAGTCTATATACAATCTCAGTATGTATTTTTTCTGAAGCAAAATCTTGAAACATCATAGGATAACTGTGAGATTTTGTTTCCCCATTATCATTTTCTGAGTACTCAGAGACCTTTTAAGTCTTGTATGTAATTTTTAACGGCAATCAGAAAACCTAAACAAAAACGAACCTTGGCCTATTGAACCTTTGCATCTGCAGTCTATGCTGCAGAGATGTTGCCCAGGTCATGCATTGCCTATAGTTGTCAGTGAGGACCTTCTGTCCTGCAAATTGAGATCAAATAAAGCTGGTGGAAGTGATAAAGGCGGAGGTTGAGTGAGCTGATAAAAGCCCTACAGATACTAGTACTCTTCTGGTCTCTGTCAGCATGGGAAAATGGACCCAGTTTCTCTGGCGATAGTGACTTTGATGTACCTGACTAATGGAGTTTGGAAACAGGTCAGAAGTCACTGGAAGGATGTTGGTTTTTTTAACTCCAGAATGAATGTACTTGGTTTTATTTTTTAACAACGAATTGTGGATAAACATTAAGCAAGTACGTTTAAGTTTTGCTCTTGATTGTTTGAACTCATGGAAGAAATCTGATATTTGTGAAGCCAGCTTGAGTGAGAGTATCTTCACTTACTCTGAATTCAGGATAGCTTAAATGGGATTAGAATCTAGCTGTGTGTTTCAAGAAAGTAGGGTAAGATTGATTAATATGCGTTTTCAGCCTGAACTTCATGAAGTTTGTTTTCCATACCGACTTCCACAAAACATTTCTGTATTGTAGTTTGTAACGAGTTTTAAGAGAACATACCTAAGAGGTAGGTATGAAGATACTGCTTTAAATTAAAAAAATTTGGAGAAGTTGATACCTTTACAGTGGTCCCACTCTTCTCCAAGAATTCAGTGACTCTGATTTAGTATCATTAATGGCACATTAACCTCAGTGTTGGCTGGGCAGAGTAAACCTTTTGCCTGTGGGGAAGGGAGGACTGCTGAGGACTGTGCCAGGCAGAGCTGGGCTCTCCACTCCTCCAGGGCACTGGCTAAAGGCAGAGGTCAGTGATGGCTGGGGATGTTGCTGTCCCCACCTGTCCCCTGTTGGTGCCACAGCTGCCACCCCTCACCTGGCCGGTAGCGTGAAGAGCATCCGCTCTGAGCTTGGCTCTCCAGTGCCGTGACAGCAAAGTGGAAAGTACAGTCACAGTTGTTTGGCATCTGTGCAAACTTCGCTGACTTTGTCTAAGCCAAGAGCCAGCCATGAGTGAGTGCTGAATGCAGCTGGGAGAAGCCTTTAGACATGCTCTATTTATTTCAGTGGGCGTAATATGTCTCGATTGTGCTTATGCTCCATGTCTACCCTTTGTCTGGCTGTTGTTGCTTGTGTCTGAACATCCTCCCGATGGACATGTCTGGGCTGATGCAACAGAGACACGTAGATCTTGCATCCTATAACAAAGGGGGCTCTGGAAACTTTTAATCTCGCTATATGGCTTTCTGTCTTGAATCCAGAGCAGTTTCTGGGAGGCTGTATGAGTTGTACCTTTGGGCAGCCTCCAAAGAGCAGTGTCAGAAGCACCTTGCCACGGAGTGCCTCGGTGCCGGGGCTTGCATGGGGAATTGCTCAGGGCACAGCCTGCAGTAGCTGCACTGGTATGCAATGCCCTAAATTTCCTCCCACCCGTGCCAGGGAGATACCTTCACACTGCCCTTCAGACACATATTGGGGTAAGAATGTCAACTGTGAGCTATGGGATTGCGTCCGTATCAGTTTTTCAGCTAGCAATGCTTTCAGCTTGTATAGCTTATTCTTATTTTATATCACTAAGGTTAATTATATAGATCCAAGAGTAGTATTAAATTTGAAATAGAAAAGGGCTTGACATGGACATCATAGGTTCTGCTCTACTAAGGTGAAACTGTTAGTTTTGTTAATTTTTTGTTCTATTACATGTGTGAGGTTTGTTTTTTTTTTTTTTGCTAACTACTGATGATTCTGCACTATGATTGTTTTTCACTACAGCATTTTTGGCTGTGGAAATAATTGGGAATTGTTACTATTTAGCATCTGCAGGGGCGAGCTTATATCTCCTTTTCACTTGTAGCCTGTAAAACCAAGGAATTTAAATTAGTTAGAATTGTGTACAGCTATTTTTTCAGCTTAGAAACTCCTGTAATAAACATTATACCTCATAAAAGCTATATTCTAGCCAAAGTAAGTAAACTGTGTTTAAGAAAGTGTATGTTTGCATTTTGGTGGAATGTTGCTAGTAAGACAGGAGTTTTTCAAATAGCTATAAACATTTTTACTCTCTCTGTTCAGAGAAGAAAAAGCAGATGGCTTGCAGAACACACTTGCCATCTTACTTGGTAGCCCAGTCAGGTCTGAAGAGGCATCAGCCTTGTATTTCTCAACATTTGTTGCACTTGGCATAAGACTCCACTGAAATGTGAGATAAAGCACATGTTTACACATCTCAAGAATTTGGAAATGGCTATAGTGTACCTGATGGCTTGGTTTCATTGTGTTTGGACTGTATTAGTTTCGAATGAAAGACTGATCTCTGAAGAGGGTTGGGCGGGGATGTGAGGTATATTTTATCTGCAAAAGTTTTAGAGGACTGCACTTTACATTATTCATGTCATTTCCTGTACCTATAAAACCTTTGCAGAGTGCCATGCTGTGGTGTACACTCTTACATATATTCAGCGATATATGTATTGCTTAAGCTGCATGGTTTTATGCTACTTGCCCCATTCCCGAAAGGGAAGGGCGTCTCATCTGTTCCTGATACTGCTTATTTTGTTTTCTGTCTTGCCAGTCATCCTTCTTGTATATTTGGTGGGATGTCCTTCCTATCTGCAGTCCCTTGTGCTTACTTTGTCTTGCAACTTTTTCTTCCTTGGATGCAACCATGTGCAACTACACAGGTTTTTGCCCCTGTAGTGGCCACATCGCTCACATATGTACATAAAATAATTATACACTGTGTCTGGCTACACCATCACAGTGTTACAAAATACAGTATTTTAGTGCACTTATATCTGGGTCCAAAGCAAACTAATATTAATTACATCCTGCTTGATACACTTACAAAATTATATTTTGAATATTACACTTATTTCTAGTCAATTTTCCTGCATGTTTGTATCCTTTGCTCTTCTCCTTCCTCCCCCAGATAGCTCCAGCAGTGCCTCACTCAGGCAGGACTCAGGAGTGCTCGTCAGGGTAGTGCCAGAAATGGACGGGCCAACCTCTCTGCTTTGCCTTTGGAGGGAGCACTGGCTGTTGCCCAGGCTTTGGCACTCATTAGACTGGCTGGAAAGTATACATCTTGGAGACTGCTGCCTTTTCAAAACCTGGCTGAAACTGGGAAAACAGCTGGGAGAGACGATGAGTGGTGTGATTGCATGCTCCTCGCTTCCTCTTGCTAGAAATGCCCTGGTAGCTGGCACAGCATAAATTACCCTTTGGAAGCAGTAGTGAGGAGTGCAGGACTAGTAGTAATAGTGGAAATACTAAGGGCCCTATGAAAGAATCGGTGTGAGTCTGTAGCCTGTAAGCAGTCATGGAGGTGAGGTTTTACCAGGTGTGGTAAGATTGCCCTAATGGCAGTGATGACAGAAGGGAACCAGTGCAGTGCTGTTATGGAAAACATGGTTTTGGGGGTCAGTAAAAAAGCCGGTGTCAGCTTCTTCCCTGCACGCCAATTCTGTCTGGTTTTGTCTTTCTTCTTTCCCGCCTCCTCGTAAACATTTCAGAGTCCTGATGAGAGCCAGGTGAGCAATAAATGGCATTGCTGCTATTTACATCAAGCAGCAGCTTATATCCACCTTGTGTGTTACTTACTGGAACAGGGTTCGAGATGCCTGAGACAACATGTAACAAACTCTGAAAACAGAATATACTTTCATGTATTTGCTTCCGTGTTGTCAGCACATGTTTATGCAGAACTTGCATGATTCACCCTTCTTTTTTTCCAAGCAAATTCTTTGTTGGGTCTTGTACTTCTGAGAAGTGTGTGAGGTAACTGAGTTACAAAACGTGCAAAACAAATATCATGATGATCCACCTGTTTGTTATTTTGATGCACACAATGCAGGCCTAAATGAGATTAAACTTCATGCAACCTTAAAAGGAGAAGTCAGTGTGCAATGTTGAATAGAAGCACAGGTAGCTTCTGTGCTGTCTTGGCTATTCTACAAGTATAAGGTGATCCGAAAGCATTTGGGAGAACAAGATTTTCTGCTGTAGCTATGTGTGACAGCAAGGCCAGGGCTAGACAAGGGCGAAAAAGGCTCTTTTGCTGCTGTTGACAGCCTGGCGCCCTGGGCAGCTGCCTGCCTGACGAGTCAGGGCCTTGGGAAGCTGCAGCCTCCAAGAGAGGGGCTTGCATGCTGCTGCCAGCTACTTTTGCTAGAGGGGAAGGGGAAACCCGTCCAGAAATAGGAGTTTCTCTGTTGCATTTCACCAGCAGGACACTCTAAGGCTCCTCTGCCTTCCTTAATTTTTTTAAGAGCAGCTGTGCGTTGCCCTGCCTCCTTCAGGTGGCTAAATACTGACATTTTGTCTTTAGTACTGTGAAGCCTCAGATCAGTTGTGCCGGGGAGCATTGGAGAACTGGAGACAAACTGATGTGAAGGATCAGCATCATCAGCAAAAAGCAGGGGTTGAAAAGCCTGAGAGTAGAGGAGACTGAGTGGATCAAAGACAAGGAGGAGGCAGATGACAAAG